TTATCGAAGATCACTTAAAAAATTATATCTCCCACATCTTTCAAGCTAGAGTCTCAAAATGTATATTTAGATGCATTTTATACAATATCGGTTTTTGTTAAAATTTACCCTCATCTTTGTAAAAGTCGTATATCAAATACTAGAAACTTCGGTATACACAACCATTTAAACATCATGATTACGTTCTAGAAATTAAATTTTTCAACAAAAAGGTTCTCCTAATATTGCCAACACTGCAGCGCAACCAAAGCGCAATTGCCTGTATATGTGAGTGTGTATGTGCGCGTGTGTTTGTTTGTATGAGTGCGTGTGTGTGTGCTAATTATTATTGAAATATCAGTTGCTTGTAGGGTTCAGGGGATCTCGTAGTCGAGCAGTCTCGACTAAAGCTTTCTTACGTGTTTTTTATTACCGTTGTCATCGGAATTAATCTTCAACATATGTATAAACTTTAAAAATAATTTATTAAATTTTTACTGCATTACAAATAAATTTATATCTCAAGCCACTCTGAGAGCCCTTCTTCCTCAATCTGTTTTTTTCGGTTGTTTCCATTTTGAGCACAATTCTTCATATCTGGTTTTACGTTCGAGACTTAAAATTAATCCGATTTAAAAATTTTAGCTCTTTCATAATTAATTTTAAAAGCCCGTGGTGTCATTCGCTTATTTCTATCAGTTTTGACTTTGTTTTTATAGATGCTTTCTCCTCACTCGACAGTCAGCCGACTTCTATCGGATGTCTTGATTGCGCTTAATCATATTAACCACGTTGCAGATGCTTAGCACTTATTAATTGATTTCTTCCTTTTTTTGCGCTTACTTGCTTCTTTTCTTACATCCGGTTCGGTTTCCTCGATGTCGAAATCTACACATTTTTACTTCTCAGACTCTTCACACTTCTTGGCCTCTTTTTCCTTTTTGGCCAATTCTGCACACATTTTCCTCTGAGCCTCTTCTTCGCACTTTTTCTTCTCAGCCTCCTCCATTTCCTTCTGAGCCAGCTCTGCACACTTTTCTCTTTCAGCCTCCTCTTTCTCCTTCTTCGCCAATTCTTGACACTGTTTCTTTTCAGCTGCCATTTTTGCTTTTTTAGCCGCTATTGCACATTTCCACCTTAATGCCGCCTCCCGTTCTTTTGTGGAAAGGACTGCGCACTGTTTTTTTAAGGCCAGTTCCTCGCACTTCTTTTTTTCAGCCGCTTCTTTTTCTTTTTTCGCCAATTTCGCGCACTGTTTCTTTTCAGCAGCTGCCTTTTCTTTTTTAGCAGCTTCTTCACATTTTTCTTTTTCAGCAGCTTCTGCGCACTTTTCCTGTTCAGCAGCTTCTTCGCACTTTTTCTTTTCAGCAGCTTCTTTGGCTTTTTTAGCCAATGCCTTGCACTTTTTCTTTTCAGCAGCTTTCTTTGCCTTTTTAGCTAATTCTCTACAGTTTTTCTTATCTTTTCCTTCTTTCTTTCCCTTTTTCCCAACCTTTTTGCACATTGCCTTTTCAGCCGCTTTCTTTGCTTTTTTGGCTAATTCCTTGCACTTTTTCTTTTCAGCCGCTTCCTTGCACTTTTTCTGTTCCG